ATCTGTTTCCTGTAGAGCAGCTTGTGGGCTCAAACCACATCATCTGTTTAGAAGCCCAAGGCCTCTCCATTCTTCAATTATGATAGAACTGACCTTGTGATTTGCAGTCTAGTTCTTATCCAATGAAGCCAAAATTACAACAAACCATGTCATTATATCAAATGAGTAAGATAAAATCTTACTGCATTAATAATTCCATTTTCTCTGACTTCCCTGAACAAGAGACAAAACAAAACAAATGATAATTAAACATAGTTCTTTAATGCTAAAACCAGGTTACCAGGCAAAATGCATGACTACCCTAGTCAGGTGTTGCGATAGCGACCCCATCCATGTATGACAGAATGAAACCCTGTCCAGTCCTGCTCCGTCTTAACAGTTGTTGTCTGAGCACTGTGTCAATCCATAGTGTTGAAGGGTCTTCCCCTTTTTTTGTTGACAGTCTACTTTACAGAGCATGAAGTCCTCCAGGATCTGGTCCCTCCTAAAACATGTCCAAACTATTTCTCACCATCCTCCCTTCTAAAGAGCATTCTGGCTGTCCTTCTTCCAACACAGATTTGTTCATTCTTACGGTAGTCCATGGTAAAAATTTTACACTCTTGAAAAAGTACCCATACTTCTTCAGTATTCCATATTTATTACCAGTTCTTGCATGCATGTCAGGTGATTGGAAATACCATGGCTTGGGTCAGGCGCACTTTATTCCTCAAAATGACATCTTTCTTTCTTTCTAGTACTTTAAAGAGATCTTTTGCAGCAGATTTGCCCAATGCAATATGTCATTTGATTTCTTCACTGCTACTTCCTCTGGCATTGTTTGTGGATCCACTTTAAATGGAAAAAAAAAAAAGTTTCAGCATTTCCTCCATTTATCATGAGGTTGTTTACTGGTCCAGTTGTGAGGATTTTTTGCTTACGTTGAGGTATAATCCATACTGAAGGCAATTATCTTTGATCTTCATCAGTTAGTGTCTTCTTTGCTTTCAACAAGCAAAGTTATCTCATCTGCATATTGTAGGCTGTTAATGAGTCTTCCTCCAATCCTGATGACACATCCATCTTCATTTAATCCAGTTTCTCATATTATACACCCATCATACAGACTAAATAAGTATGAGAAGGTTTCAAAAAAGTTCATGGAAAAATTCCATTGTCTTTAAAACTTTTTATTGTGAACTGAGTTTACATGGGAGAACATGTTTACATGTGAGAGCATAGTTTCGCTACAATAATTACAATCTCCTCGGTGCATCATCGCTCAACAGTATTTGCTTCCATTCCCTGTTTTTTTTTTTTTTTTTTTGGGGGGGGGTGTACTCATCCACTGTCTTTTATTTTCATTTTTTCACAAACTTTTTGAAGCCCTTCTGTGAGGTGAAAAGGCATAACCCTAACACACATCTTTCAAGCAGTATCCACTTGTTTTGTTCAAAGACCTGCCTCTTGAGCTGCGTACTCGTTCTGCATGAGCATAATTAAGTGTTCTGGAATTCCCATTCTTTGCAACACTATCAATAATTTGTTATGATCCAAAGTTGAATGCCTCTGCATAGTCAATAAGACACAGCTAGACATCTTTTTAATATTCTAGTATTCTCGTTGTAATATCCATCTGACATCAGTACATCAGCAATGATAGTCTTAGTTCCCTATCTTCATCTGAATCCAGCTTGAATTTCTGGGAGTTCTCTGTCAATATATAGCAGCAACCATTTTTGAATTATCTTCAGCAAAATTTTAATTGCATGTGATATTAATAATATAATTCAATTAATTTCTGCATTCTATTGGATCACCTTTTTTTGAAATGAGCACAAATAATAGATCTTTCAGTCAGTTTGCCAGGAGCAGTCTTCCAAATTTCTTGGCACACACAGGTCTTCCAGCATTGCATCTGTTTGTTGAACATCTTGATAGGTATTCATCAGTTCTTGTTGTTCACCAGTGCCTTCTGTGGTTCTTGATCATAGGCTACCTTCTGAAATGGTTGAATGTTGACCAATTTTTGTTTTTGGTACATCTCCTTTTGATCGATGACACTTAGCAACAACAAGAAAGTCGTTTATACTTTGCCCATGATGTTGTTGCTAAGTGCCACAAGTTGTTTCCAATGTGTTACAGAGACCCTGTATAATGTCTGAGGCTATAAATCTTTGCAGGAGCAAAAAGCCTCATCTTTCTCCTGTGGAGTGGCTGGTGAGCTTAAACTACTGACCTTTTGGATTTCAGCCCAGTGATGTTGTATTAAACGCCACTGAGTTAGTTTCAACTCACAGTGACCCTGTACAGGATACAGGGTTTCTGAGGAGCACCTGGTGGGTCTGAGCCACAGACATAGCGGTCCAACCCAACCTTGTGTTTATCACAAGGTTGTGATAACCAGTGCTTATCATACAGCGCCACACCAATAACCCAGTGATAGTAATCATTCGCTAAACACTTACCAGTTGTGAAGCACTACTCTATATAGGTACTGTATAAACTGACCTCAAAAATCCTAAGAGGTCGGAATTGCAATTTAATAGATGAATAAGTTTAGAAAGTGAAGTAATTTAGTTAAGCTCACGGAGTTAGTTTGTAGCAGGGCCAGAATCCAACTTCAAGGCTGTTGTGGTGCTACAGGATAAGCACTGGACTTCAAGGTCAGCTCAAACCCACAGACCGCCCATCAGAAAGCTTACACAGGGTGGCTGTGAGTAGGAAGGGAGTCGATGGCAATTAACAACATCATTCAAAATAAGCTCCCTGGCAGAAGCAAATTGTTATATGCTAGACTACTAATATAAGGAGCTCTGGTAGCGTAGTGGTTACGAATCGGGCTGCGAACCTTAAGGTCAGC